CCAATTGGTGGCATAGTCTCACACACCCAGGGAGGTGCTTAATTGCCATCTAAATTATTTCAAGTTGGACCAGCTCAAAGACAGTCAAAACATAGTTTATAAGAAAATTACTTCAGATCACTATGCACTACAAAAGGTAGAAATGATAGTGTGGATCTAAAGTACAAGCTTAATGAGACAACAAGAATAGTAATACCAAATGTGTACAGTTATTTAAAGCTTAATTTGTTGACATACATTCAAAGAGTATTGACCAGCTGGAGCAATGTAAGTGATCTTTCCCATGGCATCAGGAGGAAGAGCAACACGATGTTCCATTAAACTGTTCTCAAAGACGGTCTGCCAAAAGAAAATCCAGAATATACTCAGATATACAGCGAAATTGAAAACATGGATAAGGATACTGGAATATGATTCTGGAAAAACTTCACAAAATAACTTAAAACAAATAAAGTTCATCCAAACTTACAGCATACAAATCTCCACCTGTTAAGAGATCTCCCTCACCTGGCACCACGATATGATAATGAGAAGAGAATTTTTTTCTATTGAAAAGCAGAGTAATTATTTCAAAGTCCAAAATGTCATTCCAAAGGCTACAAAATACCAATTTTCTTCGGCTGAAATTCCCATAGTATATCCTTGTCCAGGGCCGGAACAGACACACCACGAGGGATGTAGACATCACCAGACCTTTTTGCAATTGTCTTCAGAGGCCTCTGCATTATTGAGGGAGAAAACATACAAATATCATGTTGATGCCATGGTTCTGATTTCACAATACTTGAATAAAGAATTGATTTTAAAAATGTAAAGGACATCGTCAGATCATTACCTGAATGCCATCGAAGATGTTTCCTAATATTCCAGGACCCAGCTCTACTGACAGAGGCTGTTATTTGAACAAAACATCAAATATTGCAACGTTGAAAATTTTAACTGACTGTTAAAAGAAAACAACCGAAGTTCAAAAGAAGAATTTTTTTTACCTTGCGTGTACGGAGCACGGGATCATTCACCATTAGACCAGCTGTTTCTTCATAAACTGCAAGAAAGATAATTTAACAGAGAAATCTTGCTTTTAGTTTCAATCTTATGAAATTGTGGCACTTTAAAGCTGGTACTCCCTTCCGCAAAAACTTAAGAACAGGCAAAAGCATGGAACAAGAGGGTGGGGAAGATAAGATATTGCAGGGACAGTTGCAATTAGCAAAGGAATATAGAAATTCACAAACAATATACCTTGAATTGTAGCAGAATCTCCTTCCAGCCTAATAATTTCACCAATGAGTTTGTCATGTCCAACACGAACTAGTTCGTACATGGCAGCTCCCCCCATTCCATCAGCAACAACCACTGGTCCAGACACCTATTACAGAAGACACAATGACAACCACATAAGATCTACTAATAGCCATTTTCACAGTAGAAAGGGAGACTTAATCATGGTGAGTGAGCAGATACTATATAATGAACAGAATAAAACCAGCAAAGACATTGGCAATCAATGATCTTAATCAGTACAAAAGAAAAGGTAAAAACACACTTAATAATGAAAACTATAATTTTCACACAAAGGGAGTAGCAAGCAGTGAAAAAACCAAGTATCTGTATACAAACAAAGGCAAAAGCAAAAGCAAATGTCCTAATAACTGATAAATGAGAACAGCACTAATCAAAGTTGAAAAATGAAGAACTCATAAGGAAATGATCAACTGCCAGATGTTTGACCCCTGATCCACTCCTAAAGCTTCAACATAAACAGTTCCATACGAATTTTATAGAAAAACAGATGCGAGTTTGCGACCAAACTAAGAGTCTCATACCAGAACACAATTGGAAAATTACGGCTAAATGAATCATCCAGGGAAATGAAGTCAGACCGATCCAACTATATCCAATTCGATCCAATTAACGAGAATAAAGCAGATCTCAAAGTCAATAGCATACTAATCCAAAGTGCACTAATAAACAAAAGGATCTAAGGATACGACTTCATCGATCTTAAGGAGAGCACTATACGGAGCAAAAGAACAATAAACTGGAACAACAAAAGAGGTGCAGATCTAAAGGAGAATCAATTTACCTTTCTGACGTATCCATACTCGCTTTCCTTCTCGGAATCCTCAAATGTAGTCATCGGACCTCCGAAGATCGACGGCATTGTGATAGAGTGATGTTAACAATCTGAATGCAAAGATCCGATCACTCGCGATCGAAAATCTCACACAGAAGTGAGAAATGTCAGCAGGAAGAAGAAAGAGAGAGAAAGAGGAGAAATTAGCAATAATTGATAAGTGAGGCAACCTTCTTCTAGTGATAGAACGAGAAAGGCAGTAACTCACGTGTTTGACTTCAATTTCTATGGATCCAAATACATCTAGACACGTTCCGCCTCTGTGTAGATCTACTATGGTGAATGTGAATCTGGTCCTTACATGTGTAATGTGGTTTTTGTTTTTATTTTTAAGAGACTAATCAATAGAAGATTATTACATGTGGCGATATTTTCATTTAATGATCCAGATATTTTTTGAGTTAAATTATTATTAGAATAAATAAAATTGTGAGAGCTCAAAGATTTGGATTTTGAGTGAACACTACTTACACTTGGGTTTGTATGGTTTACTAGGAGTACCTCGTATCCCTTCTAATATGATGATAGGGCAAATTTTAGCAGAGTTGAAGTGCACAAATAGGCATTTTTAGAAGTCCTAGTTAAAAAAAAATTAGAATCAAATTTTAAATTTTCGAGTATGAAATCATACATGATTGAATATAGTTCAAGTGCAGATCGTCAGGCAGAAGTTAAGTTATAACAAAGCCTAAGTTTAGAGTTAGGCTTTACCGATGCCTAATTTCATAATTAAAGATTTTAAGTTTTGATTTGATAGTTCAAACTTAAAGACTTCAGTAATTTAAATCTTCGGACCTTTTAAGAAAAAGAATGAGGAGGAAGAGAGGTTTGAAGTGTTACAAATTTGGCTAAACTTTAAATAGTTTAAATAACTAAGTTTAAAGTATAAATGTAATAGTCACGACTTCTATGAATGAACTCAAAAAGAATTTTGCTTACAACTTGACTTAATCCAACTCCGTAGTGCAATGAATGGAAAGATTAAGGGCCTTATAAAAGGATTAGGACTTCAACTATTGAGGTGCTTATTATTTTAAAGTCCAAAGGGATAAAGTTGTGATGCCCCAAAGGTTAGGCAGAGCAGACTATACCTTGATAATTGCGCACAAGTCGTAATATATCGTATCAAAGTTGGTACCTCCCTTACTTGAAAAGGGGTTCACTTTAAAATTTGCCTATGAAAATTTCACATCAAAATAAAGGAAAAATAAAAGGGTCAAAAATGCCCTTGTACTATGTGAAAAGATAAAAAATGCCTCTCGTTTATACTTTGGTTCATTTATGCCCTTATTGCTAGAGAAATGGGCCAAAAATGCCCTTAATGAAACGGAAGTAACGACAACTTCTTAAACAATTTAATTAGTCTTAATTAACATTTTCACTTATTAGATTTTTAATTATTATTATTTTTACCCTAACCCATTTACCATTTAACCCGGTCCACCCTTCTATTTATTCTTCTTCCAGTCATTTCTAGCTATGCTTTTTCCTCCATTTTCTCACAAGATTAATTCTTCCTCTTTCAAAACCCTAGCCCCCTCTTCTAGATTTCTCAAATATTCTTAATTGGGTGTAACTTTCTCTTCATTTATGATGATATCGAGTTTGCTCCCGACATTTCATTGTTTATGGAATGTCTCAAGGTTCTAATTTTTCATATAGATATAAGAGCATATGCTATTGTGGAATTGCAGCAGTACTCAATTTCATATCGTGGATTCCTTCAAATTCAGGAAGAAGTCTTTTCAGGCTGCTAAGCCTGATGTAGAAAAAAAAGTTTCTTGTGAAATCTGTGGATTTCTTTTGAATTTTTTTCTCGAATGATGAAATTATTTTATCTTTCGTTACGACATTATTAAAGATGGAATAAGATGAATAGTTAGCCCCCACACTCCAACTCTTAAATGATGAATTCACCTACAAAATCATATTTTTGTTGTAATTTTTCTTTACACTGTATTTTCCTTAATTTCTCACAAACAAGTCTCATTTACTCTCTAAAACATGAATTATCCAATATTAAATTATCATCGTCTCATGAGTTTTCATTAATAAATATTAGTACTAGTTAGAAGTTGATTTCTTATTTGTTTGGATGCTAAAAAACAAGTGGTATTGTTGTTGTTCCTTATTTGTTTGGATGCTGAAAAACAAGTGGTATTGTTGTTGTTTCTTATTTGTTTGGATGCTGGAAAACAAGTGGTATTGTTGCTGTTTCTTATTTGTTTGGATGTTGGAAAACAAATGGAATTGTTGTTGATTAGTGCCATAAAGTAGGTAATGGATTATGGTGATACAAATTTCAGAGCTGCGAATTAAAGAATGAACATTCAGTGCCCAACATCCAACCAAATGAAGGAATTATAAGTTTTAGCAATAAACCATTACACTAAAGAAGAAGATTCACTGCACATCACAACACCAAAAAGAAGCAAATACTAACAAGACCAAATGTTAAACCATTAATCTAAATAGAGGAACAAGTATTCACTTTAAACCATTACACAAAAAAAATGCAGATTCACTGCACACCAACACCAAAAACTATCAAACACAAAACAAGTTCTAGTGTCAACTGTCAACAAGACAAGTTACACCATCCAACCAATTCGCATCCACATTTTAGTGGTCAACTATCACCAAGACAAATGTGAATTTAAAAAAAAACCACCAAAACATTTTCTAAGGTAATATTTCAAGTCCATTCAACCAAAACATTAAGTACAATTCCTAGTCTTTAAAAGTTAACATCATTGTCATCAATATTATCTGGAATTCCTTGTCCCTTTCTAGCCATCATCTTCAATCTCTTTTTCTTTCCTTCATTTTGTAGCTGATGAAGTGTAGTTGCTGCCTTACCTTTTCAAATAGTTTTAGTTAGTGAATAAGGCAAATTTATCAACAATGACACTCCACTAGCATCTCCAGTAAATCTAATTCTCCTTGATCCAATTGTCGGCTTAGGTTTTTTCTTTCTCTCTTCCAGCCTTGTGACTTCATAAACAACCATTGGCCTAAGTGATAAGTCTTCTTCAGTATCGACTTCAGGACCATAAGGTTGTGTGGTTGAATAAACTGATTGTTGTGTCCCTACTTCAGTTTGAAACTTTATTTCTGCTTCATCATTTGTGTCACCTGAGTGATGTACCATTGGAGTTGAGGTTGTATCATTGCATTTCTTTTTACAATTTTTTGAACTAGAGCTAGCTCCTTGAGTATTGTCTTGTCACCAAAGGAAAGACATATTACTTTAGTTCAGGCCGTTACAATATAGTTAAGTTACAAATTTGATGCTTACATTATAACAACCCCTTGAATTATGGTTAGGTTTACCACATTTTTTACAATACAAGGTTGATCCCTTCCTGGATTGACTCCACTCTCCCTTACTTTTCCCTGCTTCATCTGGTACTCTATCTCTTTTAAGTTTGGGCCTGCCTACAGTCTTCACAACTTCTGGTGGTTCCATGGCTTGGGCTGGATCGACTTTCCAAAATTTAACTCCCCTAACAGGTTGTATTTTGTTCTTGTAAGTTAGCAAATAAGCCTCCTTACAGTAATACCAGTGTATTTGTGTTCTTGGTTCAACCTTAAAAGCCAACAAGACAAAAATGAATTAAAAATTAAAATAAGCAAATGAAGACAACAAGTTGAAAAGGCTAAAATTGAGGATAAAATACCTTATCATACAACATGGCCTTGATAGCATGGGGGCATGGTATTCCCGATAAGTCCCAAGCCCTACATGTGCATCTTTTATCATTCAAATTAATTGTATGTCTATCATCACCTTCTGTGACTTCGTAACCAAAGTCACCATTGACCTCAACCTTGCATCCATGAGCAATTGCCCTATAAACATTGTATAGCTTCATGCACGGTGGACTGAAATCTCCCTTCCAAAACCTAACTTTTGCTTCATTAGAAACCAACCTTCTCATAACCTTCAGCCTTATTTCTTCCAACATTTTGATGATAGGCATATGCCTTGCTTCCAGAATCCATGCATTAAATGACTCAGTGAAATTATTGGCAACCATGATATTTTTACATTGAGTATCAAAGTATGCCCAACACCAAGTTTGAGGTTTATATTTCAGCAAGTCTTTGGCAGCTTCTTCATCTATGTCTCCTAATTTTCTCAATTGATCTTCAAAGTCTTCAACATATGTGGTCCATGCACACCGCCACATAAGTTTCTTGGCTTGTCCACTCCTCCACCTTTTACACCAATTAGCCTCAATATGCCTTACACAATATCTGTACTTAGCTTCAGGAAACACACTCTTCTTAGGATCAATTAACCCCTATGAAGTAAAAAAAACAGCCAACATCATTATTAGTTTTAAAATTGAAAACAAACATCAGTATATTTTTTTAGCTCAAGGATGACAATTTTGATTATCAATTAAAACATAAGGAAAAGACGTAAGTTTGACCTTTTGCATATTCATAAGGAAAAGACGTAAGTTTTACCTTTTGCATATCTGAGATGAATGTCACTCCATGTCCATCTTTAAGATTCAAAGAACACTTCAAAAGCTCCAAAAACCATTCTCATGTCCTGCCTGTCTCCTTATCCACCACTGCCCATGCAATAGGATAAAAATGGTTCATATAATCTTGACCCGTAGCAACTAATAGTTGCCCCTTATATCTTCCCTTCAAAAAAGTACCATCCAGCCCAATAAGTGGTCTCAAACCACTTTTCCATTCATCCTTCAATGCTTTGAAACAAATGTACATCCTTAAGAACTTCCTCTTTCCTTGTAAAAGAGCTTCTTTTGATATATTGATAACAACATCACTTCCCGGATTAGAAGTTCTAAGTTCTTGTCCATATGCTTCAAGTTTATTATAGTCATCAAGATAACTCCCTTCTAGCTTTTCAAGAGCCAGCCTCGCCCTTTTAACCTTAGATGTAGACACATTCATGTTAAAAATAGTCTCTAACTCTTCACGCATGTCTTTTACCTTAAATTGAGGATTATACTGAACTTTTCTCTTGAATAAATGTGCTAGTGTGTTAGCATTAGCCCTCGGATTTTTATAAGTAGAATCACATGTATGTACTGAATTCAATGTTTTGATGGAACAAGTACTACTTTTCTTATCCTTTGATACTAAAACTGTGAAGGGGCGGCCTTCAACATATTTATACCCGACCCTAGTTGTATCGGTTTTCTTCACCTTAGTCCATAACGATTGGCCATTGCATAGAAGCTTATTACC